GTGTGTGTGTGTGTATGCGTGATTGTGTGTGTGTGTGTGTGAGAGAGAGAGAGAGAGAGGAACTGACCTGCAGAAAGGTGTCGCCTTGATGCAGGTACGGATGCGCTGAAGACGAAGCTGGAGCTACGGTGTCACGGATAAGTCACAGGTAAGTACCCCTGGCCTCCGCCCATGTCCTATCTCTCTCGCTCGCTCTCACTCCCTGGCTGCTGCGCTATCGCAGCGCCTCAACTCCTATCTTGTGCCCCGCACTGAAGGTTACCACTACCTGCACCCCGCGCATCGACTACTGAAGACTACAGCATTACCTCTGGTACTACCGGCCCACACCGAGGCAGACCAGCTATAAATAATGCCGGTCTGACTGGGAGGCTGCCTCAACCAGTCCGAAACTGCGCCATTGTCTGAGTGGAACTAGCGCCCAAACAGACCTGGCACCCAAAACGAAAAGCGGGCGCCTAACGAAGTTGGCGACCAAAACTGGAACTGGCTGGTTCGGTCTAAACGAAAAACGGGCGCCTAACGAAGTTGGCTCCCAAACTGGAACTGCAGGCCCTACTACAACACTGGTCTAGGATAGGCCCTAAACCCCTACTAACCCCTAACCCTACCTGTCAGGCCCTCCGGGGGCCGTGTGGAACTGAGTATGCCACAGAGAGTGACAGAGAGTAGTTGGTGTCCGTTGCTCAAGCTTTGTTACCTTTTGATCTCATCTCTTTCTTTTCATTCCTTTCAGTTTGATTTTCCCTGCCTGCTTTTTACACAGTCTTTTCAAACTTTTGCATCTTCTTTTTGGACATTTTGGGTTTCTGGTCCGCCTAGAGAAGGGAAACAAAGACGTGAGGTGGGAGAGTGAGGAGGGCGTGGACTCAGATGTTTTTGGGATGGGCTGCATGTTTGATGAGCGTGTGGCGGCCAGTTGGCCTCAGATGCGGACGTTTTTTTTTTCTGTCGACGTGTCACACACCAATATTGAAATTTGAAACTCTGTTTTTCGGTGGAGTACAGATTCCAATTTTATGCTGCTGCCAGCAAAACTGAGTTCCTTGCAACAGTGCAACTCATCATCGTGTTCCTAAAATTGATAGCCCATATGCCACTAATTGGTCCCATTGCCGTCTATACGTGTGGGCTGCTGCCCGCACTGGGAATGCTAGTAAGACTCTGTGAGAATAATATAGCTCTTTCCCGCTGAAACCACTGGGGGGCCGGCAACCGGCCGGTCGGACCGGACCGGATGCAACCGGGCCGGTTGGACTCAGGTCCTCCAACCGGAATTCCAGTTGGGCTAAAAAACGGTCCAAATTTTTATTTTTTTTATTTGATTTTTTTGAACGAGGGGTTCGACTGCACTCACTGTACACTCTGTTGACGTCAGCAGCTTGGCGGCTATGGCCACCGTCGTCCTCCTCCGCCCTCTTCAGCTCCGGGCACCTGCAGACCTCCACACACAAGTCGCTCCAGCAGCGCTTCTATATGGCTCACAGGCGAATGAATGAATGGCTGGGGGTCTGTCACTTTATTTATACTGTTTTGTAGATAGGCTTGGCCTGCTGTGCCACTGGTCCTGGGCCCCAAACCACGTGGCCCTGGGAGGGCCCAAACCGTGTGGGCCTTTGAGCCCCAAACCGTGTGGAACTCCCACTTGGTACTTGCTGACTGGACGAGGTGGACTGGTCTACTTAATGACTCAGACGTGGTAGACTGGGCCTATGACTTTCTAGAACCTACAGACTGACCCACCGCTAACAGTTAGGACTAACAACGGACTGACCCTTACACTACCGAAGAGCCAGGTAGAGGCTTCCAGTAGGGCCCTAACTAAGCCTAACGGTAACACACTAAACTGCTAGCACGCAGATCTACAGATCAAGACCTAACGACTGACTAACACCCATACTAACCAACCTAGAGGCTTTAGGGCCAGGGCATGGGTTCAAATCTCACATAGGGTTACAGGGTCAATGTACAAGGTTATGGGGTAGGTCTAAGGATCGAGTCCTGATGTCTGCATCTGTCGGGTAAACTGGGTGAAACCGTTTCACACAGCAGTCGGTGGTGGAAAATAGACTATCACTTGAACCACCAACAGTGCGCTGTACTGAAAGGTTATCACATCTAAACACCCATACTTTGGATCAGCCCTCGTCGTCACCTGTCCATAGAGAGGGAATAATGACTATGGAAACCCAAGAAACTTGCTTAATGCCGCTCTATGATGGTAAACCTGGGATTTGGCTAGCATGTGATTCACATGCTTTGTGTGGTGAGGATTATGAAGGCATAGCCCATGCAAGTTTTTGTTGTCATACATATGATGACGTTCAACACTGCACTCATGTACAGCACCCTGACATGTCATGTCCAATTTGTAGACAGGGGCTGGAGTGACAATGCCTATACAATTGTGGTCAGGATGCCTCTGTGTTCCTAGCATGTAGGAGCCACGTAACCAGTGACATCTGTCTATGTCGTGCCTGCAGCAACTGCAACTGCGAGAATTGGATGTGGTGAGTCCATACCCGAACCAGTCCTGTCCGGTCTGTAGGGGTGGTTCGGGTAAGTGGCCACCCCTACACTGACTAGCCTCTTGTGCCATTCTAGAGTACCCCTCTGTAGTGGTGAGTATTGAGAACCCTGCGAAGTGTGCATTTCCTCTGTTCTGCTCTTTGCCCCTACACACCTCTCCCCTTCCCCTTCTCCCTCCAATGCTTCCTATAGAACTCCACCCCCTACCCCTTTCCCTCCTCCCTCCTCTTGTGTACTACCAGTAAATGCATATGAATGAGCATCATTAAGGGAACAGACAAAATATAAGGTGAAGATCTGAAGGAAAATGAACAGGGGTA